TGGGACTTCCAATTGTCAGCAACAAGAGGTGTTCCCAAAGCCACAAGGGTATTCTGCCCATCACAGAGACCAAAATCTGCGCTGGAGGCAAGAGAGACCAAGGTGTTTGTGAGGTACGAATCAGATCCTGGTTTTTGAGGAGTATCGTTTCAGACGACGGTGTTTGTTTCATGAGTGTAACCTTTATTCTTATTGATTCACCTCTTACAGAAAGACTACGGTGGCCCATTGGTGTGCCAGGAAGGAGAGAGCAAGGTCATAGTGGGTGTGAGCATCAACGGCCGCGGATGTGCCGTCGCCAGGCGTCCTGCCGTCTTCGTCAACGTGGCCTTCTACTCTGAATGGATCCGCAAAGTCTTCAAATACTATTCAGACTTGGAAATAAGTTACTAGATTATTATATTTTCCACAGATTTGGTGAATAGAACTAATGGTGCGTTGCGTTTTTTAGCATCGACAACATGAAGACCATGGTTGCTGTATGATTCGTATACAAACAACTTGGAGGCCAGAGTTTAGCTTAAATGAAAACCACTGGAATGGAAAGGTTGCAAGACAAGAATATCTGATGTTTTCGCAAACAGTCTGTGAAAATCAGACATCAGACATTATTTTTAAACCAACAAATGGAGGAAATTACAACTTCTGAACTCTCTAGAAGTTTGTTGTGGCTGGTGATTTAGCCCTTATAAATTAAGGACAGATGGATAAATGACGAAAGAAAAGCAATAAGAAGAAACTGTGGTGTCAATCCACAGAAACATGTTTGTCTCAGACCAGAGCAGATGTTCTAAATGTCATTCCCTGGAGATACTTGAAGATGGCAATAACCCAACGTTTTCAGACAGGACGGGGCTTTTGTTTCCACTGGGGTGCATTTTTCAGACATTATCACTTGTTCACAGACGAATGTTCTTCATTGTATGTCATTTTGAAGGCATTTTAGGTGCAACTTATGAGGACGATGTGCTAGACACCATTTTCAACATCAACCACTTCACGAATCGGCAGTCTGCACTGCGGCTGGTATTCATTCCGGAATGGGATGTTATCACACACTTCCAGAAGGGTTCAGTGACATTCTAATGTTTCGCACCTTGCCTTACTCCAGTTTGGAGCGTTCTGTGGCCCCTTTGGGGCTGTTTCGTGTACTGCACTCTAAAGAGTGTGCTAATGTCACTCTGTACATCCGTAGGTCTTATAGATCTGAAAGTACAAACATCTGAAGGCCTTTGCTTTCACATGGTGTAATATATCTGTCGAAATTTCATACGCAGTTTGCGAAGTATTTATTGATATCTTTTATAGATCGACTTAAGTCATGGCATTTCATCCTCCAGAAGTGTTTATTGTGTTTAATCTGGCGTGTAGATTTTGAAATAACATTTGTAAACAAAACAAAAGGACGATATGTCTTTAAAGGAAAATATTGGGTCATAACAGTGTGTTTCGACTCAAAGACGGCTCCCCGAAGGTTTATAAGCCACACATGTGTGCGTCGCCCATGTGGAGGGTCTTTTAAGTCCAAGTTTAGCCAAGAGTGCAAAGATACTTAATCAAACTGCAGTACTAAATAGAGTAATGCAGTTGACAACAGGCAGGGTAACTGTTTTAAGTCATGTTTATTGCGTTTTTAATACGAAAATGTATTTTATTGTAAATATTATGTTCGCTGTGTATATAAGGTGCCTGTTTTTTTTTACATTTTATCAGTTTTCACACTTGTTTTGTCTTGTTAACACCGGTTTTGTGATTTTCTGCGCTGCTGCCATCAATGGTCTTAATATTGAATATCTAGGCTGCTGTTATTTTGAACACTATTTTTATAGTCTGTTTTGTACTTTCAACTTTTAAAATGTAAGTAAATATACCTGTGGCATTTTTTGTTTTATTTGTAAATAATTAAACCTTTAAAAAAAAAAAAAAAAAATTATTCTGTAATTTGTAATATTGTAATTCCTACTCACCAGTGCTGTTAACTAAAACTAAAATGATTAAAATTTATAAAAGCTAATATAAATATTATATAAACTTAATATTAGATAGAAAAATAAAGCTAAATAAAAACTAAAGAAAATGACAAAAGCACATAACAGAATGACTAAAAATTTTTATATTTTTTATATTTTACAAATATTAAAAACAATTATTCAAAATATTAATACAGTTACATTTATACATTTGGCAGATGTTAATAAAGAATAAATTTAATAATAATAAATAATGAATAAGTAATAAGAATGCGTATAGCAGATGCTTTTCTCCAAGGTGACTTACAAAAGATGAACAAAAGCAATACTATATAAATAATACTTAATAAACACTGCTATTAAATGAAAAATGGCTGATAATTTGATATTCTAATGTTACTTTCCATGGCCTAATGGTTTCCATTTGCTCAGATCTGATGTTTCAACCCACCAAGTGTGTGTGTCGATTTGCTTTCAGCAGGTTGTGTTCAGGCAAACCATAGCTGACTAATACAACCTTCTCTATGGCTGATACAAAAGGACGTGTGAGGAAAAAAGGTCACGCAGACCCAAACCAATAGTTTCCTGTTTCCTTCAGGGAGCTGAAATCAGCAGGGGTCAAAGGTCAAAGTTTGAACTGTTGAAAAGCGAACTGAATTTATAAAGCAGTAATTTGAGTCAAACGGGAGCAGACAGACAGTATGTTGAAGCAATCATGGATGAAAGTCAGGAGAGCTTTCATGAATAAGCTGTTTCAGCTCCAGCTCCATGATGGATTTTTGCCGCCATGCGAGGTTAAACTAATACACCTGATTCAATTAATCCAGCAGCGGCTGATTATTGTTGAATCAGATGTGTTAGTTCAAGGCTGGAACAAATTATGCTGTTGCGGAATCCCAGAGGACAAGAGTTGAAAACCACTGGAACAGACACAAGACGTCTGATCATCTATAGGACTCCGATGTATAGTAAAACACAGAGGTTTTGTGTTTAAATCAAGAGAAAACCACATTTCCACTCGAAATCAGTTGAAGTCATTTCTCTGCTTCAGTGGTTTGTTAACTGCCCGTATAATGACTCTCCTCAATCTTTTATTTATTTCTGAGCATCTTGTTCATGAGTGGTGCATATTTCCTTTATAGAGTTTTCTACTGCATGTACATAGGGAATCTTATATTTTCCTAAGGGTTTATGTGTTTGATCTTTCTAATGTTGAAAATAAACACTAACATCTTTAGATTAATTGCATTTATATTAGAAATAAGCGGGTGAGTTGAATGTTGAGTGTCTGAATGTTTGTCAGCGTTGTCCAGACTCCCTGCTAGTGCTTGAAGCATTCTGCTTTGTGTCCAAGTGTTGATCTTGTTCATTCGCCATGTAGAAGTATGTGAGTTTAGGCCAATGCTCACGAGATTTCTTACCAGATGAACTGACAGAGGTGGTCTGAGAAAGAGTGTGCGCTAAAGTACTAAGTATTTAGTATATAAGACATTATGTAAGTCAGTGTGGCTACTAGTGCCAAAGGCCGAGACTGCCAACGAAAACTGAATAGCAGGGGTATTGGCGCATGTACTACAAACAGTCCACAGGGATTTTTATTTTTGTTTTGTACTTTTCTGAAAAACACCTATTTCCTAATTTTGTAAGATGAATTGATTTTGCTGCTAAATGTAGAATAAAGGGGCCCTGACATATTTCTACACTGAAAAATTTTTAATGAGCATTTTTCAGCTATACAAAAAAGGTACAAAAGCTGTCACTGGGGTGGTAGTGGAACCTTTTCAAAAGGTACACTTTTGTACCTTTTAGGTACTAATATGTACACTTAGATACTGCGTACCTTTAAGGTACCAATATGGATGCTTAAGGTACAGAGGTGTACTTTTTGAAAAGGTACGTGACAGCTTTTGTACCTTTATTTCTGAGAGTGTAAGATATCTATAAAACATTGAAACAAGATAGATTCTCTTTAGAAGCAGAATAATATTAAAACTTCAAATGATCTTTACTTAAATTTAAAAAATTATGTTAAAGAAGCATAACATATATATAT